CGGAGTGATCGATTTCTTCATGTTTGACAATAGTTTTCTTATATATTATTGAATTTTGAAGAGGTTTGAATTTGAATTTTTTGAAAATCTTAATTTCTATGGTAAAATAATGATGATTCAATATTTATTTAAAAAAGAAGTTATTGATGTTTTCGAATAATTTTACTTTTAAAGAAATTTGTAAATAAATGTAATAGAATATTTTTTTGAGTGTCTATTAATTTTTGGAGTGAATCACTAATTGGTCCGTAAATGGTCCGTTATTTTTCATGTTTGGTCCGTAAAGTCCGTATTTTTAAATACTTTCACTGGTTCGAGTCCTGATTAATAGTTATTTTGCGAAAAAAAATTTATATTGTAATATCGAAAAATGTGGGTGAAAAAAAAGAAAAATGAGAGAATGCGCCTTGAAATAGATGTGGTTTAAAGGGCAATAGTGACATTATTCGAATGGCTATGGAGGACAATTGCGTTCCAGTTAAGTTGAAGTTCCGGTAATCTGAAGTCCCTGAGAGCTGACTGGTTCGTATATATATGTATATAAACGTTCTCGTCGTTCTCGTGAAACTGGGAAGCAGTTATCGACAAACCACTGGTAGAGACGCCCGGAAGTTATGTTCCGCAATCCTCACGTAAGCGAAATGTGTGGCGACTATTGCTATGTGTGTGATGGCACCAACCAGCCATTGGTAATGGAAAATTGGTATAAGTGCATCGGTATATCTAAGGCAGTATTTGCATTGCCCTTTCGTCACATACACACTCAACTTTCATGCTATATGTTGCGCTTTATGATAGATATAATGCACATATCATTCACACAAGCGGATATCAAAACTATTCACTTGGAAAAGTCACACAACTCTCCATAATTGTGTTGGAGGGGAAAAAAATCATATACCTTATTATTCCGTTAGATTTCAATTTCAATTATTTATTATTTATTCTCTTGATTTTAATTATTCGCACTCATCTACTAAAACCTAATATTTACTACTTTTTTTTTACAATTTGCTACTAGGATACAGGCTTCACAGTCTGTCCCCTATTTTCCTAAAAGTCCCCTTTTTTTAGTTTTGGCCCCTAAACGTACCCTATTTTCAAAATTTCCCCTATTTTTTCTTTTATCTTTTAATGATGAATTCACACCAAATTTAGCAAAGTGCCGTTAAAACTTTCAATTGGAAATTTTTGTTTTGAAAGTTTCAAATCTTGAAATTTATGATCGATGAAATTTTTCATGAAATTTATAAAACTTGTAAAATTAGTATTTTGGTGAAGTCAAGTCTCAATTATGTTTAGAAGTTGATTGTATTTTAAATTCTCATAATCTGCACAAACTTGTTATGACCTACATTATTTTTAAAAGACAATATTCATCCCAAGAATTCAACTATTTTCAAAAGTCATAAAATTCTTTGAAGAAATTCAATTATTTTTTTAAATTTTCACGAATATCTCGTCAAGAATTCAATTATCTTTACAAATAGCAAAATTATTCGCCGAAAATTCAATTATTTTCAAAAATTTATAAAAATCTTTGCAAAACTTCAATTACTTCCAAAAGTTTTTTGCAATTCAATAATTTTCAATATTTACTATTTTCATAAAATTTATCAACAGATTTAATTATAGAAAAAACTTTTTCATACAATTCAATTATTTTCATAAATAATAAAATTCCATTTACGAATTCAATTATTTTCATCGCAGAATTTCAAATATTTTTAATACAAATTTTAAATAAATTCCTTGAAAAATGCAATTATTATTAAAAATTTTATTAAAACTTGAGGAAAGAATTCAATTTTAAGAAACATTCAATTATTCAATAAAAGAATAAAATTCGTGGAAATAATTCAAATATTTTCATAAATAACATTTAAATTGTCGCAGAAAATCAATTATTTTCAAAAATTTTTAAGTAATTTTGCAAAAGAATTCAATTAGCTTGATAAACAACAAAATCGCATAAATTCTTCCCATGAAATCAATTATTTTAAGGAATTTTAATGAAATTCTTTTCCAAAATTCAATTATTTTGATAAATATTAAAATTCATGACAAGAATTCAATTCTTTTGAAAAGTAATAAAATACTTTGCAGAAATTAAATTATTTTCAAAATTTTTGAAAAATTCTCGTCAAGAATTCAATTAACTTGATAAATAGATAGGGAAATTCTTCTCAAGAATTAAATTATTGTCAAAAATTTTTCAAAAATTCTTCTCAAGAAGTCAATTATATTCAAAAATTTTAATAAAATTCTTCTCATGAATTCAATTGTTTTCAAACATTAATACAAATTTTTTTGAAAAAGTAATAAAATAGTCACAGGAATTGAATTATTTAAAATATTACATAAAATTTTTCGAAAAAAATCAATTTAAAAACTTTTTATAAAATTCTACCGGAAGAATTCAATTATTTTCAGAAGCAATAACATTTTTCAGGAAAATTCAATTATTAATAAAAATTTTAATAAAATTCCAGGCAAAAATACAATTATTTTCGCATAAATAATAAAATGCTTCTCAAGAATTCAATTATCTACTTTTAAAAACTTTAATAAAATTCAACACAAGAATTCAATTATTATTACAAATAATAAAATTTTTCACAAGAATTCAATTATTAAAACAAAATTAAATGAAATTCTTCGCAAGAATTCAATTATTTTCATAAATAATAAAAATCTCAGATATTCAATTATTTCTCAAGAAAATTGATGAATTCTGTAATTCTTTCTTTAATTCTTGACAATTATTCAATTATTTTCGCGAATGATAAAATTCTTCATAACAATTCAATTATTTTTAGTGATTTCAATAAAATTCTTTGCAAAATTCAATTATTTACATAAATAACAATATTCATCACAAGAATTCAATTATTTTTAAATTTAATAAAATTCTTCGACAAAATTCAATTATTTATAAAAAATGTAACGAATATCTCGTCAATAATTCAATTTTCTTTATAAATGGTAAAATTAAATTATATTTATAAATATTGGTAGCGAAATTCTTCTGAAAAATTAAATTATTGTCAAAAATTCTAATAAAATCCTTTGCAAGAATTAAAATTTTTTAAAAATTCTTCACAAACATTTAATTATTTTCATGAATAATAAAAATTTTACAGGAATTCAATTATTTCCATAAATAATAAATTAAATTTTTAAGAGGGATTCAACTATTTTCATAAATATGTAATAAAATTTTTGATAGGAATTCAATTTTTTCTTAAATAATAAAATACTTCTTCAAAATTCAATTATTTAAAAAAATTTTTTCTTAATCCAACGATTGTCAATATCTACTACATTTTAATTAAATTCTTCTCCAAAAGAATTCAATTATTACACACAAATATTGTAAAATTCAACGCAAAAGTTTAATAATTTTCGTATAAAAAATAAAAATTTTAAAGGAATTCAATTATTTACAAATTTTTTATAAATTTCTTCGGTGTAATTTAATTATTTTTATAAATAATAAAATTATCTCAGAAATTCAATTTTTTTTTTTAAATTGATAAATTCTTTCCTTAATTCTTCACAATTATTCAATTATTTTCCCAAATGATAAAATTTTTCACGAGAATTCAATTATTTAAAAGAAAATTAAATAAAATTCTTTGCAAGAATTCAATTATTTTTGTAAATAATAAAATTTGTTTCAGAAAATGAATTATTTTTTAAAATATTGATAAATTCTTTATAAGAAATAAATTTTGAGAAACATTTAAAATATATTATTTATTTTTGTATTTAAATAGTTAAATTTCAGTTGAACTTTCTAATAAAAATTGACTTAAAAACGAATTTCAGTTGAAATTTTAGATAATAATTGAATATTAAAAGCGTTATGGTAGGTTTTTTTTTAAATAACTAAATTTTAAAATATTATTAAATTGAAATCGTTGAAAATTTTAATTGTTGTAAAACTGTAATAACATTTAAATTTTTACTTTGAAAAATTAATTTATTTTCTTAATTCCTGTGAAGAATTTCAATTAAATTTATTAAATAATTTTATTTGTTTACTTTTAAAAATTACTTTTAAACACAATTGTATTTTTTAGGATAAAAATTTAGAAAATAATTGAATTTTTCAAAAATTTAGAAGCAGAATTAGAATAAAAATAAATATTTTTGATTGAACTCAGGAAACAGTCAGGGAAATACTGAATTAAATTTTTGTGAATCGACTAAAAGAATTTTTTCTTTTATTCTTTAAAATTAATTTTTGATAGCTACTTTTTTTACTACTTTTTTTAGTATTAAAGCTACTTTTTGATACTTTTTCAAATTATTGAGTGTGAAGCCCTGTTATTCTTTTAATTTTATTTCAATTATTAGTCCATTACTCTCCTATAGTGAGAAAAAAATAAGGCCTCGGATTTAATTATTATTTTCATTAACATCGTAAAAAGAATTTTTTTTTTCTTTTTTCAATTGCAATTTGTTGATGCATAACAGTTTGACGTGAGATTTTATTCAGCTTCCATGGATTTTTGATTAAATCACTCCATATTATTCAAAGTTTTAGCTTTGAATATTTCATAATAGAAAGCATTAAGATGTAAAAGCCTCAAACTTTAGAAGGCACCAAACTTTCCCAGTATTAAAGTTTTTCTCTTCTCATTGTTTTAAGTATGACAGCATTAAAAATATAGTAAATGAATGGAATAGCATCCTTTATAAATTCTACACTGCGTCTCTATTAAACATGTTTTCAATAAAAATTCTCCCTTTTATTAATTATAAGAAGGAAGAATGTTTATTGGAACTTGGAGAAATTTTTTTATCTTATTGTCCGATTTTCAATTTTATTAAAAGACTAATTGAATTTTTTTAATAGAAAATTTTGTTTGGAGGACAATTATTTATAATTAGCCAATTGTCTTTTAATTAATTGGAATTAATTGGAATCCTGTGTTGATAAACCACTTGATTTATAAGTAACAGAAAAAGTTATTATAAAATTAGAGACTTACCAGTCAAAGATTCAAAGATTCCGAAATCGAAATAGTCATCTGGTCTTGTATCGACATTTTCTCTGGGGAACACTTCAAAAGGTGATCCAAATGTTGCAACGCGTCTTGCTCCTGGTAATATTAGAACGGTGTCTGTATTCTTCTTGTCATTTTCATCGCTAAATTCTTCAGAATCAGGTGCTACTCCTGCAATTAAAAGAAAAGGATCACTTAATAAATAATTTATTGCGAGCTTTGGAGGAAACGAATGAAATAAGGACATTTAATTAGTATTGGATATCGAGCGAAAACGATGATGTTATATAGAAATAGAAAATGGTATTAAATTAATTAAATTCTTGAGAATTTACTTCGATTTTCTCGTCTTTAAACAAAAGTGATTAGTTGTTCATTCTTTTTCCATTCTTTTCGACAATTTATTTCTAATTGCTATAAACCTTTGCCTCATTAACTTTTCAGGCTTCGCACTCGTCTACTAAAACCTACTATTTAGTATACTTTTTTACGTTGTGCTACTATTTGGCTACTTTTTTTAGATTTCAGCCACTAAAAGCTACTATTTCTGTTTTTTTTGAGAATTTTCACTACTTTAAATTCGCTAATACTAGAAATCAAAAAACTATTCTCAAAAATAATAATAAAATTCTTTAAAACGATTCAATTATTTTCGAAAAATATTCGAACTTCAATTAACTTCAATATCTACTATTCTCATAAAATTTCGTAAAAGAATTCAATTATTTAAAAAGAAATTGATAAAATTCATCAAAAATTCAATTATTTCCATAAATAATCAAATTTCCACAAGAATTCAATTAATTAAGAATGGCATTTTCAAAAGCATTTCGAAAAAGTCAATTATTTAACAAAATTTTTATACAATGCTTCACAATCATTCAATTACTTTCACTAATACTAATATTTTTGATAGAAATTCAAATTTTTACAAAAATGTTTGATAACATGCTAAGCAAGAATTCAATTATTTCGAGAATTATTTCCATAATTAATAAAACTCATTGAAGAATTTCAATTATTTTTAATAGTATTCGAAATTAATTAATCGAAAAATTCAATTATTTTCAAAAATAAAGTTTTTCACAAGAATTCAATTATATTTAAAATAAAATTTTCATAATATTTATTATATTTCGAAAAAATTAATTATTTAAAACATTGTTTATAAAATTCTTATGAAGAATTTAATTATTTTCAAAAATAACACAATTTTTCGCTGAAATTCAATTCTTTTTAAACATTGTAATAGAATAATGGAAATATTTTTATTAATAATGGAATTTTTCTCAGGAATTCAATTATTTTCAAATATTTTAATAAAATTGTTCAAAAAAAATCAATTATTTTAAATACAATTTTAATAAAATTTTTTTTAAATAATTCAATTACTTTTTTTTTAATAAAATTCTTCACAAGAATTTAATTATTTATATAAATAATTCTGTAAAAGAATTCAATTATGTCGATAAATAACAAAATTAATCCCGAAAATTCAATTATTTTGAAGCATTTCAATAAAATTCTTTGCAAAATTTAATTATTTTCATAAATAACAATATTCATCACAAGAATTCAATTATTTTCAAATAAATAAAATTCTTCCCGACAATTCAATTATTTATATAAATAATTATTCGAAAGAATTCAATTATTAAAAATAAATAACAAAATTTTTCCCGAAAATTAAATTATTTATTTATTATTATTTATTATTATTTATTATTAAATTCAATTATTTTTAAAAATTACAAAATTTTTCCTAGAAATTCATTTTATTCTTTTTAAACATTTTAATAAAATTTTTCTGAATAATTCAATTATTTTTAAAAATAATAAAATTCTTCTCAGTAATTTAATTATTTTTGAAAATTTTAATGAAATTCTTAGCAATAAGAATTAATTATCTTTAAAAGTAATCAATTTCTTCTTGGAAATTCAATTATTTTAAAAATTTCTAATAAAATCATTTGTAAGAATTCAATTATTTTAAAAAATTCTAATAAAATCGTTTGTAAGAATTAAATTATTGTACTTAAGGGCATTTGAAACTTGATGACGTCACACATGCTTTGCACAAACTGAAACGTCATCAAGGTTCAAATGTCCTTAAATAGTAAAATGCTTTTTAGGAATTTAATTATTTTCAAAAAATGTTAATAAAATGCAAACAGACATTCAATTATTCTAAAAAATTTTAACCGAATTCTTTGTAAAATTTAATTATTTTTAAATACTTTTTGCAATTCAATGATTCAATTATTTAAAAATTTTTTTGTAAAAATCTTTGTAAGAATTCAATTTTTTTCATTAATAATAAAAATTTCTTAGAAATTCAATTATTTAAATTAGAATTTGCATAAAATTAGTCGAAAGAAATGAATTATTTAAAAATTGTTATAAAATTCTTTGCAAGAATTAAATTATTTTTATAAATATTTAAATTGTTTCATGAATAACAAGATTCGTTGCAGGAATTAAATTTATTAGCAGAATTTTTGTCAGTTTTGTAAAGTGTCTAAAACGAGTTTTTTTGGTCGTCAAGTTTAACTTTTCGATAGCTACTTTTTTACTACTTTTTTTTTTAATTTGAAAACTACTTTTTGCTACTTTTTTAAAATTAATTATCAAGTGCAAAGTCTGACTTTCTTAATAATGGGTCAAAAAAATATTAATATGTGTTTCATTTACCTACTTTTGTATACGAAAGTATAATATTCGGTGAAATAATATTAAAAAGACTTGATAAAATCTGCGTTTTCATTATAAAATATTAAAGTTTTGAATTTGACAAGATACGGTAGGTTAGAATTTAAATTTTGCAGCTTCTGAAACGTTTGTGCTTATAGCTTGCTTATTTATTTATTTTTTGAATAAAGCAAACAGTAATTTCGAATGGTATGCCCCTCTACTGTAAGTTTATATCACTAGGACGATTTGTAGATTGCCATTACAGTTTTCATGTTTGTGTAAAGCCTGCGGCTACTCGAGTATCGCAAGTGCAACTGTGTCCATATAATATATATATATTTATAGGTATGTGTGTATATACAGTACCGGCCAAAATTGTCAGTCCACCCATTTTTGAAGGAATGAAAAAAATTTTTTAACATAAAATTTATGAAAACTCAAAATTTTTTTGGTTTATATTTTGAAAGACAATAAAATTTTGAAAAGAATAAGACCTCACAGAAGTTATTTGACCAAAATTTGTAGAAGATATTCTTAAAAATCGTCATTTTCAATGTTTTACAAAAATTTGAATAACTTCTAAAATAATGATCGCTTTTTAATAATCTTAGGCTTATTTTAAAGGTCGTTTTCTACGGAATAAGCATTACTTATAGGCATTAACCTGTAATTTTTTATTTGGAATAAGCATGACGTCAAAGTTGGATAAAAAAATTGGAAAAATTTGAAATAAATTTTTTGTACTAAAAACTATTCTAGAACATATATAAACCATGATATGGTGAAGATTTTTAAAGAAAAGTTAATAAAAAAATATGTTTGAATTTCAAAAATTATTTTTCTTTTAATAACATTATTTCAAATTTTTTGAATTTTTTTGTCCAACTTTGACGTCATGCTTATTCCAAGTAAAAAATTACAGGTTAATGCCTATAAGTAATTCTTATTCCGTAGAAAATGACCTTTAAAATAAGCCTAAGATTATTAAAAAGCGTTCATTATTTTAGAAGTTATTCAAATTTTTGTAAAACATTGAAAATGACGATTATTAAGAATATCTTCTACAAATTTTGACCAAATGACTTCTGTGAGGTCTTATTCTTTTCAAAATTTTATCCTCTTACAAAATATAAGCCAAAAAAAATTTTAGTTTTCATGAATTTTACGTTAAAGAATTTTTTTCATTCCTTTAAAAATGGGTGGACTGACAATTTCGGACGGTACTGTATTCATACACATACGTTTATGTAGCTTTCGCATATTCGTTTCGACATCACCAATTGCGGGAACCACGAAAAAAAAATCGTCTCTCACGAATTTTCGTACAATTGATTGTTGCCCTCCTCGAAATGTTTTCAGTAAAAAAATCTACTCTACACAAATCGAAAAAACGTGGAAACAAATTTTATATATAGAAAACTCTGCGAAATTGAAAATAAAAATATTTCGACAAAAGATATTCAATAACACAGTTTTTCTGAGGATATCAAATTGAGACAAAAATGATATTTGTTTTTTGTCTCAATTTGATATCCTTAGAAAAATTGTGAATGGAATAGATTCCCCACTGTTTAAAAACTAAAAATTATTTTCAAATCATCTTCAAACTTTTGTACAATTAATCTTCAATATCTTCTTTAGTAACAGCGTATAATCGAACAAACATTCTTTTTTTGAGTTATAATTTAATTAAAAGTGGCTAAAAATGTCAAAAAGTCAGGGAAATTAGGAAAAAGTCAGGGATTTTTATTAAAGTCCTGGAAAAAATTTAATTAACATAGAATTTCAATTATTTTTAATACAATTTTAACCGAATTCCCCAAAAATCTAATTATTCTTGAAATTTTTATTAAAATTCGTTAATAAAATTCAATATTCATCACAAGAATTCAATTATTTTCCAAATTAATAAAATTCTTCGCCGAAATTCAATTATTTTCATAAATAACAATATTCATCACAAGAATTTAATTATTTTTAAAATTAATAAAATTCTTTGTCGAAATTCAATTGTTTTCAGAAATTTTATAAAAATTTATTATAAAATTCAATTATTTTCATAGATAATAATGTTCATCACAAGAATTCAATTATTTTCAAAATTAATAAAATTCTTCGCAGAAATTCAATTATTTTCAAAAAATCTAAAAAAAGTTTGTCGTCAATATTTGAATTAACTTTATAAATGAAGAACAAAATTCTTCGACAAAAATCAATTATTTTCAGAAATTTTAATAAAATTTTGGTCAAAATTTCAATTATCCTTGAAAATAAAAAAATTTTCCTGCAAAATTCAATTACTTTCATAAATAATAAAAATTTCACAGGAATTCAACTATTTACAAATTTTTTTAAATTTCTTCGCAATAATTCAATTAATTTCGAAAATAATAAAATTTTTTATAGATATTAAATTATTTCATGAATAATAAAACTCATTATAGAATTTCAATTATTTTTAATACAATTTTAACCAAACT